TCGATTTTCAGCATAAATTAAAACTTAAATATGAAGATAATTCTAGTCATTAAGTTAAAGCTTAGCAGAAGCTAATCAGTAAAATACGAGGGAGTTACACCACATCTATTTAACTATAGATGCACATGCTAGAATCTAAACCAAAAACCAACATAAGTTAATATCCAACACTTCTAGGCTCACAGGCCACAAGTCTAAAACAACAAAATTGAAAGCTACGCTATCTAAGCCTTCGTCTAGCGCGCTCTCACGATCTACTCAACACCTGAAACACAAGGGTAGCACCCGTCAGCGAATAATGCTGGTATCCCACCAATACTTGTTGAGTACAAATAATATAGATATAGAGAAAAGCATTTGAGACTTGGAATACATTATATATAGTCTTTAAAACGAGGAATAGAGACAACAAAAGACTCATCATAGTATCACTCTCAAATAAAGACCAACATCATCGGTTACTTAATAGATCAATAAGAACGACAAAAGTAACATGCTTAACAACAAGATACATCATACGATAATCAATCAAGAGACAACATAAGTCACACTCATAAACCATGAGAGACAAGATTCACATTCAATGATACGTACAAGTTCCAAGTTCCAACCTTATGCCCTGTTCCAACCATTCTCACCAGGCCAACCTTATTACAGTTCCAACCATTACCTCCTAGTGCCACCCTGTACACCGAGTCCAACCTTTTCCCTTCGGAGCCTTTACATTACTGCCTGCATCCGCCAGCTCGCCACCGAACGTAGACATTCGTAATGTCATTAATCATAGCAGAACAGTACTAATCATGTGATAGTCTATCTCCTTTCATTATTTCCCACCAATTTCATAACATTACACAGTAATCATCATAGAGGATTGAGGCTTATCAATAGCCCAATAAAGTATCAACAAACGTGTACAACATATGTACGCGATCATAACAAGGAATACAACCGATAGATTTCAATGAAAGGCATGAATAGACCATCAAACAACGTCATAAGAACAATAGACTTCAATCCAAAGATTATCATGATTGGCAAGACAAGTTGCCAATCCTCATTAAGAACAAACGAACAACACATACTAGCATCAACAACATTAGAACTAGCATGTACATCAAAAGGAGAAACATAACGGTTCAATCAACCTCAACGACTTCACATTAATCCAACGAATCACAAGGTTGGACCATAAGCACGATTCAAGACTCATAATCCTATCGTGGATACTTAAGACACCGTTCTAGACGTACGAAACATCAAAAGAGAGACACAAGTGCACAACGATTCAACAAAACGGAGGCCAAAGCACAACGTACCAGTGGGCGGAACGGTGGGTGGACAACCACCCGCCACTCTCCCATACACGTACCAGCGGGTGGAACCACGGGTGGACCTCCACCCACGGCTATGCCCGCCGGTCCTTTTCTTTCCACCCGCGGGTGGAACGGCGGGTGGACAGCCACCCGCTGTTCCACCCGCGGGTACATACTTGTACCCACCAATTTCCCTTCGGGGAAAAACATCAACAAAGCCAAGTTCAAGTCCAAAATACCCAAAACCTCACATTCAACAATGAAATGACTTGAGCACATGAATAGCTCAATGAATAGCATTTATGAACCCTAGATACAAGCACTAATATGCATAAACACAAGATTATGCATCAAATCACTCACAACATCAAGAACATCAATAGAGTAGCAAGAAAGCAACATAGCAAGAATAAAATTGGTTTTGTAGAGCATGGGTTACCTTTGTAGTCTAAGAAATACTTCCTTTCTACCTCCTAGACCACCCCTTAAAGCTCTTCCTCAACAAAGTCTTCTCAACACAACCAAACCACACAAAGAAAACCAACACTTAGATAAAGATTAGGTAAAACCCACTAAAAACACTATCTAAGCTAAGATCTTACCCTTCGTAGAGTCTTGATGGTGGAAAGGTGGAATCTTGGAGAACTTTCATGCAAGGTTGAAGAATGATTTGGTTGGCTTGGAGAATAAGCTACACCTCTAGAGAGAAGGTGGAGAGTCTAGTGTTTTCTTACCAAATGTAGGAAATAAAGTGTAGTCTTGTTAGGGTAAGGCTTGAATGCCAAGTATGGGTGAAAGGACTAGTATGCCCTCCCTTATTAAAAAGGTTAGGAAGACATCAAAAAGGCTATGTACTACTTATAAAGCTCAAGGTCTTTTCTTTTGACTAAACTAATTGACCAAGGGATTGGTCAATTTAAGTCCTCGGACTATTAATTAGGAATTGGAAGGGAAATTCACAAGGAAGATTTGGAATTAATTGCATAATTAACTCCATTTAAGAATTGGATTTTCGGGGTGTCACACATACCAATCTAGATCATATTTAGGAGGTGATGGTGGTAAAGGGTGTGGTGGTGAATCGTAAATGAATCAGTAAATGAATCCAAATGGTGGTTGTATATCTTCTTCTTCAGAAGATAGACTGATAGGATCGCTGGAAGTGTCCCTAACCAAATGACCTCCATGGGCTACACGCCTTGCCCTCAATTTCTCCTGTCTCTCCTTTTCCTTGAGACGCTTTGAAAACCGTATCATCGTGCTTTTTCCAGCGTTCTTCTTTGAATCCATTTTCACCTACAAGAAAAACTAGTGATAGCTTAACACCCAATTTATAGATGGAAATTAGGGTTTCACGATCATTAACAGTAGGTACCTTTTTGTTTGATAACATAATATGCGTCAATTTATACTTGAATGTGCGTGACATGTAATAGTTAAGGGTGCGTGGGTGACCATTTAACCCGAAATGCATTAACCAATTATATCCTTAAGGTGCGTTAGATAAACCATTTACATGCGTAACTAAAGACTTTAAGATGCGTGGATGAATAGTTCATGGTGCGTGGGTGACATTTAACGTGAATTGATTTTTGGTCTACAAGTTTTCGTTCGGAAAAACAACTGTGAAACAATATTTCTACAATGAATAAATGGATGAGCTTACTGGTGAAATAGTAGAAGTCTTTGCACACACCGATCACACCCAGGTTTAAATCCCCTTAAAGACTTAATTTTTGGTAGTTGAATCCAGGCACATTAGGACTTAAATCAATGCATCTTAAAGTCATATGTCGCACACTTTAATCGGTTTTTCATCGCACTTTAAACTTTTGGCATTTAAATATCTTTTCCTTTCGCCGCAACTAAATTAAAAGTATATATACACGCACATTGTACTTTTATTTCGCGCATGTAACAGAGCAAACCAAATCACATTAACTCTTTTTTACTGACACGTACACAGGTTGCTTCTCACAACAAGTGCACACCCAAGGAATCACTCCAGAACCTTTCGTGTCCTATAAAGGATCTTACCTTGTAGACTCTTGGATTTTGAGATCCCGAACTCTACAATTGCCTCGCCAAACTTCCAATGATCTTCTCAACCCTCGGATGATTAAACAAGGCTAAGAACTAGACTTAGGAATCTAGCACTTGAGATAAGAAATAAGAACAAACTTAACTATGTAATATAAGTAGTAGCTCTATTCTTTTTGGGATTTTTCGGGTATGTGTATGAATGTAAAGAACAAGATAGTAGGATATGCCTTCTCGGCTTGTAAACTAGCTTCTCACTAGCTTACTTAGATTGAATGCATCTCACAAACAACCTAAACACTCAATGCAATTCTCATGCAAAGAAAAAGAGAGAAAATCTCATTTCATTCCAAATATTACAAGTTGATTTGAACCATTGGGTGATGGGGTTTTTATAGGGAAAAATCAGGGATTGCAAAAATATAAAATATTCTAGGTTTCATTCCTTAACTATGAAGTAAATAATTAAAAATTACAAGTTGCAAAATAAACCTCCCCTCCCCCCTTTTTGTGTATGAAATCAGAATTTGTAGGCTGAATTTTCTTCCAAAGCTTGCTATCTTTCACATGGGTTTGTCATAAGCATTTAATGCATTGTCTCCTTGAGTAAGCTAGTTGCTTGAGGTGCTTGCTTGAGCTACTTGGTTGATGACAAGCAAGGAGGTGAGTGAGCAGCTAGGTAGTGATGAAGTTACAGAAACAAGTAGGTGAATCACTAAGCAAGTAGGTGATTCATCAAGCTAGTAGGTGAAGCACACTCCTTAAGCTAGTAGCTCTCTTCAAAAGTCTTGATGTAAAGGCCATTGAATAGATTTGTTCCTCCAGATTGATCTCCTTCTTCATAAATAGTTGTTGTACTCCAATTTGCTTGCACAAAAGTGTTAAAAGCCTCTTGAATCTTTTTTTTTTTTGACTTGGATCTTGTTGTCGGGCCACTAGAGACTTTCATCGGATCATTTGCTTGTTGTCTTTGGGTCTCATCATCCTCCCCCTCTTGAAAAAGATTCGTCCCCGAATCTGAAAATTCAAATGGAGATAAATCAGCAACATTGAAGGTAGAAGAAACATTATGCTCACCTTGAAGATTTAATTTGTATGCATTGTCATTGATTCTTTCAAGCACTTGGAAAGGTCCATCTCCTCGAGGCATAAACTTGGACTTGCGCTGGTTTGGAAACCTATTTTTGTTGTAGTGTATCCAAACCCAATCTCCAGGTTTAAAAATTGTAGCATTGCGTCCTTTGTTGGCCTTTTGAGCGTATTGCTCATTTTCTTTTCAATTTGAGCTTGAACCTTGGTATGAAAGTCACGAATCCCTTGAGCTCCCTTAGCAGCATCCACACATTCTCTATCATTCACATGTAAGGGAATCAAATCTAAGGGAGTTAATGGATAAAAACCATAAGCAACCTCAAATGGTGACATGTTTTGTAACACCCCCATTTTCCAAAACCAAATTAATTTATAAAAAGGCATATCTTTGATTAAAATTTTGTTATTTAATTGCGGAAGCTAAACAAAATAAGGAAAAAGAAGGGATGCTACCGCCACGTTTAGATAACAACATATATCCAAACGCACAGGCTAAAAATAATACTACTAAAAACAACCCAAAACTAATACTAGTCTACTAACTCAAATAATACCATTGTCTAGATACAACTTCTAGATTTTCTAACAAAATAAATCTCCAAAGCTCTAAAGGATGAATCGCTCTCATGCACCGAATGCCATGCAAGATGTATCTGCAAAAGAACTAAGGAGGGGACAAATTCAGCATACAACAGCTGGTAAGACTTACTACACCCCGTAAAATATTTGCACATAACACGTAACACTTTGGAACACAAAATTCCATGTTAACCCCTTAGTCATATTATCGTTAAATTAATTCCTCATACCACTCCACATTTAATCACCAATTATCAAATCAATCATATAATAAATATAATTTATAATTCCACATAACATTCCAGAATTTTCCATACAATCATTTAACTTCACATAAAATTCCACAACCTCCACGTGTCACCACTTTTATCAATAATAGGATAGGATTTAATCCTTTATTTACCACAAATTTCCATCAATCAAAAATATATTATGACATTTTCATATTTATCCACTGTTTACCACCAAGTCAATGAGGAGGAAAAATACCAGGCAAGAGCCATTACTTCGGCCCCAGTGACAAAAAAAAAACCCAACCGGAGACCCACACAGTTGGTCCGAGATCAATTCCTTAAGTATGCATACCCCCAATGGGAGACCTACACCAATGGGCAGAACGAACTCGAGGAGTCTGTGGGATTAACTATCCGGCCCACACCGGCATGTAAAGTAGACTCCATATCCGTAATCAATCGTGGGATTAACTACCCGGCCCACACCGGTATATAATAATAATCCACCATCAAACGTGAGAGACCAAACTCACAAGAAAATCCGGGTACAAATCCTCCTTGACCAAAGTGAATTATAATATAATTTTATACCAATTAATTTATTCTCTCCACCATAATCAAATATACAAATATATGCATGACAATACATTGATTACACCACTTTTCATACCATGTACCAAGTATTCATACCACATACCAATATGTATTATTATAATATATAATATACGCACAAACTAATTGATATGCTTAATACATACCTATAAACAAGTAATAAATGAAATCATACAGTACGTACACCAACTAACCAAACATACATATATTCATAACTACTCAGTCTATTAATCAACATATAATTCGAATACGTATATGACATACAATATAAGTTCACGCATATATACTAATTAAAATGCAATTCCAGTACCTATAATCGGATTATATACATTACATGTATATATATATATATATATATATATATATATATATATATATATATATATATATATATATATATATATATATATATATATATATGGGGTCAGGTTCCTGTGAGGTCAGGTCTTCCCGTGCGGTCAGTGCGGCATACACCATTAGGTATGCATAAATGCACCACACAGTGTTCGAAAATACACCATTATGTGTGGTGTATATATATTTTTTTGTGGTACATTTTTTGGCATTTCATTATGGTGTATTTTCGAACACTGTATGGTGCATTTATGCATACCTAATAGTGTATGCCTCACTGACCGCACGGGAAGACTTGACCTCACAGGAACCAAAATCTATATATATATATATATATATATATATATATATATATATATATATATATATGTATGTATGTATGTATGTATTTATTTCAAATAACTTACTTATTAAACACAATTTGCACGACACACATAGCAATCATTCAAAGATAACAAAATTGATTTTTGATGAAAATGATTTTCACATAAGCACTTAGGAGAATATTTTTATCTTGGGGAAAAATAATTTTGAGTGAACATAAATCTTACCTTGAAAGGTTATTGTCCTCAATTACTCTAAACCTGAATTGTTCAAATCCTCCTCTTCTATCGACCATGATCACCATCCAATAATAAACACAATAAGCACACAAAAATATCACAACCCTATTTCCATTCTACTCATAAAATAAAATCAATAAACTTAGAAGACTTACTAAGTTGGAAGGAACCACTTCAATTCTTGAAGGAAAGAAATGGAAGAAGTGTATTTTTTTCAAGAATATATGGAGGAATGCCGAAATGGAGAAAGAGAAGAAGCCAAGAGGAATATTTTTTTCTTTCTTCTTATAAGTGTCGGCCAATGTAGAAGAAAAAGGAGAATAAGAAGGAATGATTCTCATCATCATCAATACATATTTAAAATAATAATAATGAATACAATAATTATAAGGATTGTAACTTATGTAACCTCCAATCTTCCTAATCAATTTTTAATTCAAATAATAAAGAAGATATTATATATATACGTACTATATATATACACACACACGGTCCAATATATATATATATATATATATATATATATATATATATATATATATATATATATCAATATATATATATATATATATATATATATATATATATATATATATATATATATATATATATAAAAGTTGTAAATATAATATATATGTATACTATACGCATATTACACATATAATAAAGGAAACATTTTTGAAATAGTAATATATGTATTACGCCACTTGATTTTGTACCAAAAAAAATAATATATACTTTTCTTATCAATAATAATAATAATAATAATAATAATAATAGTGAGGCTATAAGGAATCAAATGGATTTAGGACCAAAGGATTTAAAAGAATGAAGAAAGAAAAGTATTAAATCGGAAGGAAGAAAAACCGGGTATTACAATCTACCCTCCTTAAAAGATGCTTCGCCCCCGAAGCATAAGCACTCAAAAATTCAAACAAAGAACCTAGAAATTAACTTACAAAATTTAGAAAAAATCACCAAGTCCAAATTAAACATAGAGCACCACTTATCAAGTATCATGATCAAGGGAAATAAATATGCAACTAGTTATGCAATGTCTCATCAACTAATATAATCGAATCTAAACGAATTATTAAGCCAACGAACTAACTAGTAGATGAATACGTCCCTAGGTGACTCGCTCGATCTTGTGTCAATGCATCACGCCACATCACCAGAAACCACATCACTAGCCTCAGCTTGAGCTCTACTCATTATGAAGATCCTTCCTTGATTGCTGTTCCTAGCATTGTTGTTTTGACCTCCACTATCAGTTGTTTGATTGTTCCCACTCCCATGGTTACCTCCACCATTGTGATTCTGGTTTCCAGCCCCATGATTGTTAGGTCTAGGTCCTCTGTGATTTCCTCCATTGCCATTAGATCCCTGGCCTTGTTGATTCCCATTTTGTTGTGAACGACATTCATAAGATCGATGTCCCATCTTTTGGCATTTGAAGCATTTCACTAGATTTCATTCGCAATCTTTCCCAGGGTGTCCATTTCCACATTTCTTGCAGTAGTGGTACCTCTTCATTCCATTGTGTTTCCACCCTTGGCCCTCTTGCCCATCGTCACCACGATATCCCCCATTGCCCTTGTTGTTTTGAAATCCTCTATTTGACCCTTGATTGTTGAACTTTGGTCTCTTATCCAGTTGTTTGTTTTCTTCCTCATTGTTCTCCATTCTCTTCCTACTCTTCATGTTGGCTTCTCTTTGAATCAGCTCCACACGATAAAGGTTAGCAGCCTTATTATATGCTTGATTTAGTGTTTGAATATCAAGGGCGCAAATTACCTTTTGAATCACAAAACTCAATCCCCTAATGAATTTCTGTGTTTTGCTATACTCATCAGGGACCAACCTAGGTGCAAAACGAGCAAGCTCCAAGAATTTCGCATGATATTCCTGCACAGACAAATTGCCTTGCTTCAAGTGTAAGAACTCCTCATACATTGCAGCCTTAACATGTTCAGGATAAAATCGATCTCTCATAGCATCCTTGAATGTGACACCCCAAAAATCCACATTCAATCCATGGATTAATTGAGTAATTAATCCTATTGTATTTGAGGAATTAATTCCTAAAATCCTGATTTTTAATACTCAAGGACTAGTATTTGACTAGTCAACCTTTAAGTTGTGTTGTACCTTGTGCTTTGAGGGGAGTTCCCTTGTTCCTTACACTTTCTAAGGGTTAGTAAGGGTATTCTTGTCTTTTCACCAAGAGTTAGTATTGTAAACTAACCTAGAAGACTTCTTCATTTCATTCCCTACAATTCTTAGAAATTAGTTCTACCTTCTCTCTAGAAAAGAAGTGTAGCTTATTCTCCAAGCCATGTTGAGACCCTTGTCAAGATTCCAAGATTTGCTTCCAAGATTCAACCTTTCACCTATTTTGGCATCTAGGAGGGTAAGATCTAAGTTCATCTTGTGTTTTTGGTTCCGTCTTAGTTGTCTTTTTCTTAAAGGTAGGATCTTTATGATCTTTTGGTTTAATCTTGAAGTGGGTTTGGAAAGTAAGCCTTGTGGAGAGCTTGTTGTGGTGTAAAGTGAAGTCTTTTGGTCTTCAAGAGGTAACCCATGCTCTACAAAACCTATTTTGCTTACCTATATGTGATTTCTTGGATTCTACATGTGTTTTGCTATGAAATGTGAGGGTTTATGCATTTGTCTTGTGATATTGCATATCTAGAGCTTGTGTTTAGGGTTCCTTTGTGCCATTCCTTGGCATTTTTCATGATTCAAGTCATTTTGTTGTGTTGGATGAGATTTGCCATGTTTTGGACTTGAATTTGTGTTTGGAGAAGAAAATCCCCGAAGGGATTTGTTGTGGAACAGGAATGTTCCCGCGGGCGGGGCACCACCCGCCGGCCGACCCGCGGGTACATAGGCCTGTGGGAATGTGTTCCCGCGGGCGGAACCACGGGTGGGGCACTACCGGAGTGGCTCAGTATAGTGGCCATCTTGGGTTAGTACGGATACCATGGGTTACCGTGACAATTTGAGCTATCTGTTGGGCCGTACGAGTGGTTTCACTCAAGCCTCTAGGCCGGAAAAGAAGTGGTTGTCTGCGGAGCAAAGGATCTTGGTGATGTTGGTGTCGGATTGTTTGTATCCTAATAACAACAAGAGCAGCTTGTTGGGTAAGTTGGAGTGCACCTTTGCCTTTTGCCTCAAGAATATGGTTAAGTTCAACCTGCCTGCTTTGATGATGCAACACATGGTGTTTTGCCGGGATCACAATCGGAAGAACTTGCCGTATGGGATGGTGCTGCTTGGTTAAGAAAGGTGTTAGTGTGGATGGTTGCCTCCCGAATGCCGTGGGAAAGATGGTGTTGGATACCACCAATCGCCGGAGTTGTAATCTGTTTCGGTTGGATGATGGTGAGTACATCACGCTAGAAGAGGTTGCAAGGAAAGCACTTGATGAGCGGGCGGAGTTAGCTGTTGAGCTTGGAACCCATGCCGGGAAGTTGAGCCTAGCAGTCCAGAGTTTGGGCGGTGACGAAGAAGCTGAGGAGGAAGATGACCAAGAGGAAGGAGTAGGAGCACCGGAGGCCGCCGAAGTTGAAGAAAGTGATTCGGACAGTGAGGAAAGCCGGAGAAGGAGGGAAGCTCGTACAAAGAAGGAGCATGACGTCGTCGCCTTGCTTCGTCAGCAGAACAGCATGATCGCCGAACGTTTTGCGTTTATGAAGGCGCAGTTCGTCGCAGTGCATCAGAGGCTGGACCAGATTGAAGCCAGTTCTAGCCGCAGAGAAGAAGACGAAGAGGAGTCCGAAGAGGCCGAGGAGTCGGAGAGCGAGGAGTTTTAGTTGGAGTTGCGGTAATCCAGTTCGCCTTTTTCCTTGTTGTTTCCCTTCTTAGCCGTTCTTAGCTTAGTGATAGGTTGTTGTGTGTGCTTTGTGTGCTTGCTTGTTTTGTTTGTTGCCTTGTTGTTTAGCTAGTTTGATAGTGGTGTTTGGAGTTAGTAGTTTAGTTCTTGGTTGTTGTCTAGAAGTTGGTGGTTGTGTTGAGGTTAGAGTTCTTGATGCTCAATCTATCCGTTTGTTAACCTCTTGCCAATCCTTGAATTTGAAATGCCTTCTTCTTTGCTTTGGAATCCTTGCGAGTTCTTTTGGAGTCTTTGACCAAAAGAGTTATTCTTGAACATCTTGTCACAATGTCGTTTCCTTTTTACCGTTTGCTTTTAATTCGTCGTACCCAAGCTTCGGGGACGAAGCTTCTTTGAAGGGGGAGAGGATGTGACACCCCAAAAATCCACATTCAATCCATGGATTAATTGAGTAATTAATCCTATTGTTTTTGAGGAATTAATTCCTAAAATCCTGATTTTTAATACTCAAGGACTAGTATTTGACTAGTCAACCTTTAAGTTGTGTTGTACCTTGTGCTTTGAGGGGAGTTCCCTTGTTCCTTACACTTTCTAAGGGTTAGTAAGGGTATTCTTGTCTTTTCACCAAGAGTTAGTATTGTAAACTAACCTAGAAGACTTCTTCATTTCATTCCCTACAATTCTTAGAAATTAGTTCTACCTTCTCTCTAGAAAAGAAGTGTAGCTTATTCTCCAAGCCAAGTTGAGACCCTTGTCAAGATTCCAAGATTTTCTTCCAAGATTCAACCTTTCACCTATTTGGGCATCTAGGAGGGTAAGATCTAAGTTCATATTGTGTTTTTGGTTCCATCTTAGTTGTATTTTTCTTAAAGGTAGGATCTTTATGATCTTTTGGTTTAATCTTGAAGTGGGTTTGGAAAGTAAGCCTTGTGGAGAGCTTGTTGTGGTGTAAAGTGAAGTCTTTTGGTCTTCAAGAGGTAACCCATGCTCTACAAAACCTATTTTGCTTACCTATATGTGATTTCTTGGATTCTACATGTGTTTTGCTATGAAATGTGAGGGTTTATGCATTTGTCTTGTGATATTGCATATCTAGAGCGTGTGTTTAGGATTCCTTTGTGCCATTGCTTGGCATTTTACATGATTCAAGACATTTTGTTGTGTTGGGTGAGATTTGCCATGTGTTTGGACTTGAATTTGTGTTTGGAGAAGAAAATCCCCGAAGGGATTTGTTGTGGAACAGGAATGTTCCCACGGGCGGGGCACCACCCGCCGGCCTACCCGCGGGTACATAGGCCTGTGGGAATGTGTTCCCGCGGGCGGAACCACCGGTGGGGCACTACCAGAGTGGCTCAGTACAGTGGCCATCTTGGGTTAGTACGGATACCATGGGGTACCGTG